TAATTTCCTTCTATACCTAATTTGCTGAGACTCTTTATCATGAAGGGATGTTGAATTTTGTCACATGCATCTATTGAGTTAATCATGTGGTTTTTGTCCTTGGTTTTATTGATGTAGTGTGTCACATTTATTGACTTGCATATGTTGAACCATCCTTGCATACCTGGGATGAATCCTACTTGAATATGGTGTATAATTTTTTGACTTGTTGCTGTATTCTCATTGCTAATATTTTGTTGAGGGTTTTTGCATCTATGTTCATCAAGGATATTGGCCTGTAATTTTCTTTTTTTGTTTCTTTGTCTGGTTTTGGTATCAGGGTGATGCTGGCCTCATAGAATAAGTTTGGGTGAATGGCTTCCGTTTCAATTTCTTAGAATAGTTTGAGGATAATTTGTATTAATTCCTCTTTAAAGGTTTGATAAAATTCAGCTGTAAAGCCATCAGGTCCTGGGCTTTTCTTTGTTGGAAGATTGCTGATTACTAATTCAATCTTGTTGCCTGTTATTCGTCTGTTCAGGTTTTCTATTTCCTCTTGGTTCAGTCTGGGTAGATTATATGTGTCCAAAGTTTTATCCAGTTCCTCCAGATTTTCATATTTGTTGGCTTACAGTTGGCTTATAGTAGTCTCTAAAGATTCTTTGTATGTCTGTGGTATTGGTTGTAATGTCTCCCTTTTCATTTCTGATTTTTGTTATTTGGGTCTTTTTTTTGTTAACCTAGCTAATAATTTGTTTATATTGCCTTCTCAGAAAACCAACTTTTTGTTTCATTGATCTTTTGTATTGTTTTTTGGGTGTCTATTTCATTTAGTTCTGCTCTGATCTTAATTACTTCTCTCCACCTACTACTTTTAGGATCAGATTGTTGTTGTTTTTCTAGTTCTTTGAGGTATAGTGTCAGTTTGTTTATTTGAAGGCTCTCTGTTCTTCTGAAGTGTTTGTTGTAATAAACTTCCCTCCTAGTACTGCTTTTGCAGTATCCCACAGGTTTTGATATGATGTGTCTTCATTTTCATTAGTTTCAAGAATTTTTTTGATTTCCTGTTTAAATTTTTCCTTGGATCCCTAGGTCGTTCAGGAGCCTGTTGTTTAGTTTCCATGCATTTGTATAATTTCCAGAGTTTCACTTGTTATTGATTTCCAGTTTTAATCCATTATGGTCTGAAAAGATTGCAGTTTTAAAAAATTTTCTGAGACTTTATTTGAGACCTAACATGTGGTCTATCCTGGAGAATGGTCCAGGATGTGCTGATGAGAAGAATGTATATTCTGTAGCTGTTGGATGAAATGTTCTGTTGATATCTGCCAGGTCCACTTGATCTAAGGTGTAGTTTAAATCCTGTGTTTCATGGTTGATTTGTTGTCTGAAAGATCTGTCCAATGCTAGGAGAGGGGTGTTCAGGTCACCCAGTATTAAGGTATTAGATTATATCTCTTTCTTTAGGTCTATGAGTATTTGCTTTATATATCTGTCTTCTACCTGGATAGATCCCTTTATCATTATATAGTGACCTTGTCTCTTTTTATCGTTTTTAGTTTAAAGTCTATTTTATCCAATGTAAGAATAGCTACTCCTGCTTGTTTTTGGTTTCCATTTGCATGGTAGCTCTTTTTCCATCCCTTCACTTTTAGTCTGTGTGTGTCTTTACAGGTGAGGTGAGTCTCTTGAAGACAGCATATACTTGGGTCTAGCTTTTTAATGCAGTCAGTCAGTCTGTGTCTTTTGAATGGGGAGTTTAATCCATTTATATTTAGAATTGTTACTGATAGATATTGTTTTACTCCTGTCATTTTACTGCTCTTTGTTTAGATATTTTAAGTTTCTTTTGTTCCTTTCTTCCCCTTTCATTTTTTGTCTTCAATGTTAATTGGAAATTTGAGGTGGTATGATTTAGCTTCTTTCTCTTTCTCATTTGCATTTTTGTTTTAACTGTGGGTTTTGCTCTTTCTTGTCTATCTTTGATAGTGATTATTGTTTTTCAGATTCCAGATGCATGACTCCCTTGAGAATTTCTTGCAGGGCTAGTCATGTGTTGACGAACTCCCACAATTTTTGTTTGTCTGGGAAATAACACTACTTCTCCCTCGTTTCTGAAGGATATCCTTGCTGGATACAGAATTCTTGGCTGGCAATTTTTTTCTTTTAGTATTTTGAATATATCATCCCATTTTAATCTGGCCTGTAGGATTTCAGTTGAGAAGACTGCTGTTAGCCTAATGGGGTCTTCCTTATAGGTGACTTCATGCTTTTCTTTTGCTGCTTTTAGAGTTCTTTCTTTGTCTCTGAGCTTTGCCAGTTTGACTGCAGTGTATCGTGGAGAGGGTCTTTTTGGATTGAATCTGTTTGGGGATCATTGGGCTTCCTGAATCTGAAGATCTTCATCTCTCCCTATACCTGGGAAGTTTTCTGTTATTATTTGCTTGAATAGGTTTTCAATGCCTTTTCCTTTCTCCTCTCCTTCTGGAATACCCATGATTTGGATGTTTGAGCACTTGAGGTTGTCTGTGAGTTCTCTTAGATTTTCTTCATTAAAAAAATTTTTTCCCCCTTTTTTTGGTCCACTTGGGTTATTTCAAAATTACCATCTTCAACATCTGAAATTCTTTCTTCTGTTTGCTCTAGTGTTCTCAAGCTCTCTGTTCTGTTTTTCATTTCATTGAGTGAAACTTTGATTTCTAGAAGTTCTGTTACATTCCTTTTTAAGGTATTAATCTCTTTGTAAATTTCCTCCTTCATATCCTAGATATTGTTTTCTTGTTTCATTGTGTCCTCTAATTGAGTCTTCTTTTATCTCTTTGAGTTTTCTGAAGGTCATTGCTTGGAATTCCTTTCAGTCATTTCAAGGGTTTTGTGCTCTATGGGGTCTGGTACTTGAGCATTACTGTATTCCTTTGGTAGTGTCATATCTTCTTGTTTGTTTGTATTTCTAGTATTTTTTCATTGATGTTTGCTCATTTGTTAGAGCACTTGTTTCTTTTGTTACTCTGGAGTTGGCTATGAGGAGAAAGATTTCCTCTATTTTGCAGATTTTTGATACTCTTCTTTTATTAGTATAGTTGAGTTTAACAGTGGGCTGCCGCTGCCTGTTGTTGATCCTGGCTGCTACTGTGGTGGTGAACTCTCCTTGTGGTGGTAGTAGGTGTGGCAGGGGCTGTGGTAGACCACCTCAGCTCCTGCTTGGGTGGTGGGCAGGGTTTTCTGGGATTTGAGTCTGGGCCCCTGGTGGAGCACAGGGCTCTGCTTAACTCTCCTTGTGGTGGTAGTAGGTGTGGCAGGGGCTGTGGTAGACCACCTCAGCTCCTGCTGAGGATTTGAGTCTGGGCCCCTGGTGGAGCACAGGGCTCTGCTTACCTTGACTCCTGCAGGTTGACTTTTGGATAAGGGCAAGGTTTCTATGTTACATACAAAGCAGAATCATGTGAAGGAATAATATTATTTTCGATAGTAATAGAGATTAGTTAAAACAGAATGTGAAGAATTCTGCATTCTTCCCTGTGAAAATTAGTAATCTTCAAATATTTTCTGTGTTTTGCCAGATACTGACAATATGAAGCCATTGAAGGGTGTAAAAATTCTGGATCTATCGAGGTTTGTATTGGTTCATCTATGTTTTGGTGATTGCGTTTTTCCCTTCTCTCAAAAACATTCATTTATTTTTTGCATTATAACAGGATACATATATGTTTATGCTGAAATTTTGGAGAACAAAAAAAGAAAAGAAAAATTTGTATAAGCTCTAAGAGACAATTAGTGTAATATTTATGCATTTTTTCCAATCTACATGTTTATATATAATTTTAAAAAACAAAAATTGGAGCCATATTGAAATTACAGTTTTACCCATATTTTAGATGAGATTGGGTGTGCTCAGGGTGGTATGGCCATAGACTCTACCCATATTTTAAGCATAATGTTTTATTTTGAATGTTTTCCTGTGTCATTCAAAATTCAACAAAAACATAAGATGATATATTATTATATAGATGTCACATGCTTAATCACCCTCCAGTATTTCAGTATTATAAATTAGGTTTCTTTGTATACAAATCTTTGCCAAAGTTTTGATTTCTTCCTCAGGATAGAACTGTAGAAATAGACTTACTGGATCAAAGGGGATATATATTTTTTTAACACTCTTGATACATATGGCCAAATTACAGTTTTAACAACTTTGATTCTTACTAGCATTATATGAGCTTGTCTCTGTAAATGAACAATTAAGAAAATAATTATTGTAGAATTTTTCAAGATTGTTATTTACTTATTATTGTTAACATTGTAGAGTACTGGCGGGACCTTTTGCTACTATGAATTTAGGAGATCTTGGAGCAGAAGTTATAAAAGTGGAAAGACCAGGTAAAGCTATTGCTCTCTTTAAAAAATAGAAAAAAGCCAATGAATATTTTCAGCAATTCTTTAAATATTTATGGTTGTCACCTGTATTCGTCTGTTTTTGTTGCTTATGACATAATAACTGAAACTGGGTAATTTATGAAGAAAATAATTTTATTTCTTACAGTTTTGGAGGTTGGGAAGTCCATGGTCCAATGGACGCATCTGAATGGCCTGAGCAACAGAGAACTAACTTCCTCACTCGCTGTGCTTATAAAGCCATCAGAACCATGGTCATTACTCCATAAATGGATCAGTCAATTCAACAAAGGCATAGTCCTCACAATCTAATTACTTCTTAAAGGCCCCACCTTTCAAATACCATAATTGGATTTCCCACTCTCTTAACATTCTCACAATGGGGGTCAAGATTCCAGTAAATGAAATTTTTGGGGACACATTTAACCCAAAGCATTATCTATAAGTGGGATGAGGAGAGAATTGAAATGAAATGATTATTTTCTCTTCATTTCTTATTTTCCTTTGAACCTATACTAATCATCTCCTTACTTTTTATAGGCACTGAGGGCTAAGGCTCAAGCCAGTTCCTTCTCATGCACCTGAAAGTGTCTGTTAGAATCCAAGATGCAAGATGTAATAACAATGATAACAACACTTATTAGAGTACCAGACACAGTTCTAAGCATTGCCTATTTTGGTTTATTTAATCTTTACAACAACTGTATGGGTGATGTTATTATTCATAGCTTATAAATGAGAAAACACATGCACAGAGAAATAAAGGAATTTGTTCAAGGTCATACAGCTAATAAGGAATATCCAAGCACTGAGCTCTGATCCTGGCCACTCTTAGCCCTGTGAAAGCCTTATGTTGAGATTAGAGTGAGCCTGGCCACACTCCCTCATTGTAGGATGGAGGGAAGGCTAGGACAAGGGGAGGATAAAAGGAAAGAAATTAGGATACAGAAGACAGAAGAAAAAGCAATCAAAGCCCTTCAAAAAGGAGCCCAAATACCCCAACCTAAGTCAGTCTTTTCTTTTTCTAATAAAAGAAACATTTTTCTGTTTTACAATTTTAAACGTTTTGAGGGGAAAACACCTAAACTTAGATCAATTCTTTTTTTTTTTTTATTTTTAATTCACTTTTTTGTTGTTGTTTTGGTGGCTGGCTGGGTTTTTATGTTTTTTTATCTGACATTTTTCCTGTTCTTTCTTCCTTCTTTGTCCACCAAATAAACATATTGTGTATACAATTCTCACTTTTATATGGTGCCATCTTAGCATTTTGGTGTTTAGTTCATGGTTATTGATAAAGTTCATAGTGATAAAGAGATAAAGTTCATATTGATCTAGTTCACAGTTATTAATAAAGTTGCCTAGAAAAAGTGCCATTATTGTGTGCTGTTTCTCTCCAACAAGCACTTAAAGGGCACAGCCCATGTTCTTTATGTTCTCTATATCATCCTATAAACAGCTTGTTTTGGAAGTTTTCTAAAGTTATTATTATTTATGCTTCAAGATCTGATCCTATGTGTCTGGAACAGAATTCTCAAATCAGTGAAGATGGTGTAGCACTGAGTAGTGTGGATATATCTTAAGACTTTCAGAAGACTAATTTATAGTTAAGTCAACTTACTAATTTACTGTAAGTGATAAGCCCTATAAAGTAGAATACTCAGTCTGGGAGACTCATTTTCCTGCTAAATAGATCTTCTTAAGGAGCCAAAGTAGTTAGCAGAAGATTCTCTGATCAGCATGAGGAATATTGTATATTGTATTTTATTTATTTGACCTGATGCTTACTAGTCTTAGGTGGTAGAAAGACCTAGCAAGTCTAGAGGTAATGCTTTGTTTATGTAGTCAGCGATGTTCATAGCTTTTGGTTATTGCCGGATACATGCTGAAGAATGTTTACTTTCTAGTTGAACATCTTTTATTTTTCCCCCCCAGTTTCTATAAAGTCTTTAATTTGCACATTGCTATTTGATTTCAACACCACAGCACTTCCTGATTTCAACCACTGAGATTCTTGCATCTTCCATTCCCATATAGAGCATCCAATCTAATTTTTCTTGCTATTTCAGGTGGTCCCTAGGCTAATATTTGTATTTATAGCAATTTTATAAGTTATTATTCCATATCTCCTTAGGTCTATTTCTCCTTTGTACTTTTTGGTTTCCACCATAGGGGAGACCTTTCTTTGTCTAGAGTTATTATGTCTTATCCCATGTTCCTAGTAAGTGTTTACTGTTCCTTTTTGGACTGATTACTCTGACTCTCTCTCTTAACCATCCTGCAAATACATTTTAATGTTAATATGATATACTTTATTGTTTTGGGTTTTTGAGATAGTTATTCAACATGGATATGAGGAAAAGTGACTTAGCACTTTCATTAAAAGTGACTTGGTACGATTTTCAAATTTCAGTGGAGAACACTATAATCTCCTTTCATGTCCGCTTCTCCAGTTCTTCAATTAAGTAAAATTTGGTTGTAGTTTTCTGAGTTAGGACTCAGATTATTCTTATTTGTGTAAGCAATGAGCATATCAAACTTAAGTATATCTTTCTTCTTTTTTTAAGAGCTAGCCGCTCAGTGGGTGTAATCTGTGTGCCTGCAGGACCAGGCAGGGAATCTAAATGTGTAAAGTGGGCTGGGAAGGTCAGCAAATGATGCCACTGAAGTTCCAGGATTGTACCCATGAGGAAGGGATACGAGGCCAGGGATATTGGTCTTTTTTGTTCACTGCTGTGTCTGCTCTGCACATATCAGTGTCTGTGACATAGTTGGTTCTCAATAAATATTTGCTGAATGAATGAATGTGTTGAAAGGTCATTTAAGAATGACCTGTCTGATCGTGAAGATCCAGAGTCACACATGGATTTTTCGTGAAGCCTCTGACTGGTTTACTACATATGGGAGATTGCCTTTGCAGACTCTTGCCCTTCATTTTTTCCCTCAATGTTTTTGGTACGCCATTCTGTTTGGTACTTAATATTTATTGCTTTGTGTCATTATTGGTTCATCTCCGGTTAGAACTAATGGTTTTCTTCTCTGTCCTGTGTGCAGTGCTTCTCTTGTGAATTTTTCCTGTTTTCGAAAAGACTACGTCTGTTTTTCTTGATCAGTTTCAATGAGTAAAGTAAAATGGCTAATACATTATGTCATTTAAATGACTAGAGTTTAAAACTTTAGGGGCCGGCCTGTGGCTCACTTGGGAGAGTGCGGTGCTGATAACACCAAGGCCACGGGTTCGGATCCCATATAGGGATGGCCGGTTTGCTCACTGGTTGAGCATGGTGCTGACAACACCAAGCCAAGGGTTAAGATCCCCTTACCGGTCATCTTTTAAAAAAAAAAACAAAAAACAAAAAAAAACTTTAACCCACATTCACAAAATCTCTTTTTTGGGGGGGTGGGCAGCACTAGTGATAAATACTTTAACTGTAATTGCCTATATGTTGATTAATTTCTCATATCAATATTTAATGAGAACCTATATTATAAAAATCTAATTAAGTGATACCATTTTGTGCCATTTAATAATTGATTCATTTTCTGAGTTATATCTAAACTTTTTTTGTCCATTGCTTTGTGGGCAAAGAAAGTATTTTTTCTGTAATTCTATAGTGTTATCTTTGGATCAAACAAGAATACATTTCAGAATTACTTGTAGTAGATTTCCAGAATAAAATACCCTATTTTTGGTGGTTTTACACTTTCACTTTGAAGCAAGACCTACAATTTTATTCTAAAAGAGTATTTTAAATTGACATTTGTGATTCAGTAACTTATTTTGCCTTTTCTGATTTGTTGTTGCTACAGAAATATTTTATATTTCTGTTTTATTTTTGTATTTCTGTTCTATACATAGTCTTGAATTCCACTTTTTCAGAAAGACTCACATCATTATTCTGATTTAAATTAAATTTAACAAAAATTTTTTGCAGACTCAACATTTTCTTTGCTTTGTGATTCAGTAACTTATTTTGCCTTTTCTGATTTGTTGTTGCTACAGAAATATTTTATAGTTCTGTTTTATTTTTGTATTTCTGTTCTATACATAGTCTTGAATTCCACTTTATCAGAAAGACTCACATCATTATTCTGATTTAAATTAAATTTAACAAAAATTTTTTGCAGACTCAACATTTTCTTTGTATGGTCAATGTGGAAAAACATGGAAAGAGCTGACAGACTTGCCAAAAACTGAGTAATTTTTTCCCCCTAAAACCAGCCATTTATTAATCTAATGACTGCCAGTAGGATATTTCCTTCTGGGTTTTGACTTTCAAGGAGGGAATTTAGTGAAAGAGGATATGGAAGAATTCAGTGATTAACACGAATAGGTAAAGATAGTGGGCAGCTGTAATGAGCTCCTGCGGCCCCTGCATTGCTGCTGATTCCACTGGGCTGAGCTGATCTTGTTCAGGCACCTGCGAATGTATATGAGTGAGGCTGTTGGTTTCAAATGTCTCATGATGTTTCACACTTAATGATTAAGAGCTCATTTTATTATTTTTAGGAGCTGGTGATGATACACGAACTTGGGGGCCACCTTTTGTGGGGACAGAAAGTTCATATTTTCTCAGTGTTAACCGAAATAAAAAAGTAAGAATATCTTTCCTTTTCTGGTTTCTTTGTGTAATTCTCTCATAATAATAAAACTCTTGATATCATCATGGCTTGTTTTTTTCTTTCTATTTTTGTAGATGTAACTAATATTTCAAATAAGGTGAAGTTTTATTTATTCACCAGTCACTAAATAGAAATAATATGGCTTTTTACTAATCTTTCTGCGAAGAAGCTTAAAACATTTTATGAGAATTTATAATGGAAATAATTTTATGAAAGAGAGAAATCATATAATTCTTTACATTTGTTATACTTTTAGAGAATGCTAATTGCCTAACACTTGTTATTACTGAAAAACATTTACTATAATCCTTGTTATCATCCTAACATATTCTAATTCCAAATAAAATCAGTAAAGGTGATTTAAATATTTCTTCATGAGGAAAATAAATTTGCTTTAAGAAGAGACTGTGATATGAATGGCTTTCTTGTTGAGCTGTCAGTAATAAGAAAAACCTTTATTATAGTATTTTAATATGTATATATTTTTTTAATTTTTAGAGTATTGCTATTAATATCAAGGATCCAAAAGGGGTGAAAATCATCAAAGAGGTACAGTGTGCTCTATGAAAGGCATCTTATCACCTAAGTTGTAATTATGGATTTGAATGTCAGAGTAAAGTATTTTAAAAGTGTATTTCATTGACAGTCCTTACTTTTTTATAAATGACATTTAAGAATTTAACTTGACTTTTATACTTTTATACTAAGTATAATGTACTTTATAATTTCTTGTATATTGTGTATAATTATAGAATTAACTGCTATTGACTGACTGCCTACTCTGCGTCAGATCCTGGGCTTGGGCATTTTACTTACATTATCTCCTCTAATACTCAGAATTTGCCTTATAAATGAAGTATTAGAATTTCCATTTTCACGGAGGGGAATTGAGTCTCATGGGGCCTAAGCGTTGCTACAAAGATTACATAAGTAGTAAAGGGAAAAACTGACATTTTGAGGCTGGGTCAAGTCACTGGAGAGCCCAGGCTTTTTCCAGCACTTATCCAGATGGCCTGTGTGTCCAGCCCTGGTCTCAGTATCTTTCTTTGAGGGGCAGGATTGCGTAATGGTTAAGGGTATGTACCTTTGCATGGGATTCAAATCCTGCCTCCTCTACTTTACTAGCCATAGTGACTTCAGGCAGGTTACATAACTTCTTTGTGCCTCAGTTTCCTCTTCAGAAAACTGGGAATAATAATATTACCTACTTCCTAGGGTGGTTGTTAGAATTAATATGTGTAAGATGTGTAGAAGGGTGTCTGCCACATAGTCAGCACTCATTAATTATTAGTTATTATTTCCTGATGCACATGTAATTGGATTCATCATGTGAGGTGAAACTTGTTTGCCATCCTTGTTAAGATTTACAGCCTAATCTAAGGATATGTATCTATTTGATTAGAGAACTAAGTCCCAAATTTGTTTTTTACCGAAGCATCAACTTTAGCTTCGTTGCTTTGCTGTTACTTTATCTGTCTGGATGATTGAAAGATAATCCTTTTAATTGTAAAGATCAGAATCAGTGATCATTCTCTTTGGTTCTGTTGGGCCAATCCAGCATATTTAAAATTTTTGTTTACTTGGTATATTTTGAACCCAAAGCTTGAAATTTGTCCTGATCTTACAACCCTGCTTTCCTATATATTTTTCCTATATATTTTTTTCTATAGCATATTGTAGGTTTGTTTGTTTTTGTTTTCAGTTGAAACTCAGTTTGATTTTTCTAAATTGTTCTAGGTATTCCTTAGTCTAATCAAGTTGACGCCTAAAATTAACCATCACAATGGATAATACCTGTTCATGGGCAAATAGGTTAATATTTTAGTGTGTCATATCAAACTTTCTTTCATTCTCTTGTATATTCATTTTTCCCCACAGACATGAGATAATACCATGTATAATGTTTACATATAATCTTTTTTTTGTTACTTCATATATTATGAATACTTTTTCTATTAACATAACTTATTACATTTATTTTCTTGTCTCATCGAAACAGCAAATTTGTGGTCAATCTGGACACTTTACGTAATTGAGATGTGATTTAGGATTCTATGGAAATCTAAAAATACTAATACCACACATGATTTAAAATTATTTTTGTTGTGGTAATATATGTAAAACATAAAAGTTTCCATTTTAACCATTTATAAATATTCAAGTCAATGTTATTAATTACATTCATCATGATGTGCGACCATTTATTTCCAAAATGTTTTTATTATCCCAAACAGAAACTTTGTATCTATTACATAGTAACTCTCTACTTCCCTTTTCCCCTCAGCCACTGGTAATCCCTAATCTACTTTCTGTCCCTATGAATTTGCCTATTCTAGATATTTCATGTAAGTGGATTCATACAATATTTGTACTTTTGTGTCTTGCTAATTTCTCTGAGCATAATGTTTTGAAGGCTTATCCATGTTGTGGCATGTATCAGAACTACATTCCTGTTTCTAGCTGAATAATATTCCATTGTATGGATGGATACATTCATCTGTTGATAGACACTAAGGTTTCCATCCAAGTTTTGGCTACTGTGAATAATGCTGCTGTGAACATTCACATACAATTATCTGAGTCCCTGTTTTAAATTCTTTTGGGTATATGCCTAGGAGTGGCATTGGTCATATGATAATTCTGTGTTTAATTTTAGAAACTCCCAGAGGCTTTTTAAAATTAAAAATAATTTATTAAATTCCATTTGCATAAGGTACTATGTCATGTACCATGTAGAACAGTTGCAACAAAGAGATTACCAGTATACATGCCTAGATGTGTTTGATATGATTTATTTAATGCTTACAGGAGTGCTATGTAAATAGTAGAGTCTTGGGTAAATTTGTGGAATAGATTTAGGTGTAACTGAAGTTTGTATTTTATTTAATAGTCATACATGCCCTCCAATTCCCCAAGCAATGTTTGGTAGAATCATTAACAATAAATAAATGCATCTCTATTGGGGCTCACCCTGGAGCGTGCTTCATGAAGCTGCCCACTTGGGAAGCAGCTCAGTGTAAAATTGGCACCTGAAATTTGGAAAGAATGCCTGTATATCTTGAGATTTGAGGTGCATACTTGAAACCTTTCTGTCTCTGTCCTGTATTTTAATATATTTATCATGCCTCTTCTGACAGGTGGCCACCAGGGCCTCTGGTGCCTCTGTTTCATGAGCTCTGGAAGATGACAACTTATTTCCTTAACTTGCCTCCAGAGATTCACCCCACCCCCAATTTTGTTAAGTCACACAATTCTGTGTATACATTTCAAATTTAGTGACAAAATAATAGACAGATTCTCAATTTTTTTACATTTACATCTAAAGTTTATATTAACCCAACCTTTTCCATCTAGAGCAGATGTTGGCAAACTATGTGGGCCAAGTCAGGCTTGTTTTTGTATAACCCATGTAAGAATGGATTTTACATTTTTAAAGGTTCTTGAAGAAAAATAAAGAATGTGTGGCAGAGGATGTATGGTCTGCAAAGTCTAAACTATTTACCATTTCACTCTTTATAGAAAAAGTTTGCCCACCTCTGATCTAGACTCTTATTCTCTTACGTTAGTTTGTCCATATGTAAATATATTTAAATCTATGTCAACATGGCAATTAAAAATTTATTGAATAATTATTAGGCACCTGGATGTGTTCAAGAATTACTGTAATGAATGTCCTTGTACAATTTTTGTGATGACTTTAAAAAAGACTTTAAAAAGTTTGTGGTCATAATTGAAATTTTGAAAAAAAATTAAGTTTAAGGTTCATTTGCCCTCTAATTGCCATAGTGGCAGTTTAGGAATCAAAATATGGATCCTGTTTCTGACAGTTACTGGTTCACTGGGCTGTAGTTTAATAGTTTGGGGAAAAAAACCCCAAACAAACCCAATGGTTCATTAAGTACATTTAAACTCTTTGGAACGAAAGCATGTGAAAAGTATAAAAGCTTTTCAGAATCATGTTTATATGTATTAAATGAATGTTATAATGAGGAATATTATATAATAGGGATGGAGGGAGTAGAGACATTGTATTCAGTTTTCTGTAAAGGTTTTAAAAGATGTTTTTAATATATTTTATGTATTTATATTCCAATTTTTCTATCTAAACTTCTGAGAATATATTTGGACAGACCACGTAGCCTAGATATTAATTCAAAGGAAGCAGGATCCATTCAATACCGTGTATTTACAAAAAAATTTAATAGCCATTATTTTACTGACAGTAAAACTTCAAGTAGTTGATGAGGGCTTTTATGTTTATCTAGTTCTAGTTCATCTGTCCTTTGATTTTCTGCACTCTCACAAAGTGAGGATCAATTGTGTATACTGAAATTAAAATTCTGTCCCATGGGGACTTGTTGAAAGTTTGGAAGTTCCTTAAGAAGTCTGACTCATCTTCCTCTCTTCCTTCAGCTTGCGGCTGTTTGTGATGTATTCATGGAAAACTATGTCCCTGGCAAACTGTCTGCAATGGGCCTGGGCTATGAAGATATAGACAAGATTGCTCCACACATCATTTATTGCTCCGTTACAGGTATTTCAACCCCACCCTCACAATGAGTAGGTTTTCCAATTTCTGTTTTCTTGTTCCTATTAGAGACTTCTTGCTGGTGTTGGTTTTCTTGAAGTGATTCTGCTTTCCACCACTCCAAACCATTTAGGCTGAACATTAACTGTTAAGGAACATTAACATAAATGAACATTTTCATAAACTTATTGGCTATTTGGATTTCTTCTTTAAATTGTCTTCTTATGTTTTGTCAGTTTTTACATGATGTTTTACAAATATTTACAAGTTTGTTATTAACTCAAGTTTAGGAGAATTAAAGGTGAAATTGGCTTTAAGATAATACAGAAACTCAAATACCCTTTTAATAAGTTCCGAAGTGCTAATAAGCAAAGGAAAGGAAAAGAGTGCTATTGCTATAAAGTCTTCTGATTGTTCAGCCTTTGCCACTGAACCTCGTGCGTGCGTGTGTGTCTTTAGGCTATGGGGGAAAAAGTCATAGTGCTACTTAGTTTTACATGTTTTATAAGTACTTAACTGTTAATTAGGGTACATAAAAGTTGCTCTTAAAATAGAAAGTTGTATTAATAGTTTTCGTTAGAAAAATTCATAATATTTTCAGTTTTTATTCATTCATCCATCAAATATTTATTGCAATTCTGTGATCTGCCAGGCAGTATTTTAAGGTTCTGGGATACAGGGGGAATAAAGCATATCTGTCCTATCTAGGAGATTTATATTTTAGGTTAGGGAGAAGTTATTAAATGAACACTTTTGGTAATTGAGTCTGGTAGTGATAAGGGCTAAAGAGAAAAATAAACAGGGCAAGGGGGATGGGGTGAGGAGGAGCTATTTTATACCAGAAGGTGAGAAGTTTTCATCGATAAGGTGACACTTGAGCAGAAACTTGAATGAAGTAGAGGAGTGAACCATATAGACATTGGCAAAGAGCACGAATACCAAGAGCAAAGGAGGCAAGAGTGTGCGGGGCCTATTTGAAGACCAGCAATGCCAGTATGGCTGATGCAGAATGAGCACAGGGGTCTAGTAGGAAGAAAATCAGGGAGATGTTGGTTAGCAAGATCATAAAAGGCCTGTGGGCTACTGTTAAGGAATTTGGCTTCTATGGTGAGTAAGGTTGTAAGCTAATAGAGGGTTTTGAGCAGAAAAGTGATATAATATGACATATTTTGAAAATGATTCCTCTAGCTACTGTGTTGTGAGGACAGAGGTGGTGGAAGCACAGTTATGAAGCTGTTGAAATATTCCAGGCTGGAGATGATAGGGGCTTGAATTAGGGTGGTTGTGGTGCAGGTAGTTGAAGAGTGATAGGATTCCGAATATGTTTTCAAGATAAAGTGGATAGGATTTGCAGATGGATTACATGTGAGTATCACAGAAAGAGTGGAGTTAAGGCTGACTCGAAGGTTTTGGCCTGAGCAATTAGAAGAATGGAATTACCATTTACTGCGATGAACAAGGCTGGAAAGAAGTTTTGGTAGGGAAATGTGAAGAATCAGATTTTGGATGTGTCTTGGTTAGATGCCTGTTAGATATTCACGTGGAGATGTAGAGTAAGGGATTGGATCTAAGAGTTAGGAGTTCAGAGGAGATGTAAAATTTGATAGTTGGGAGCAAATTTGAGGCTAGGGTGAGGTAATTTGGAGAATAAGTGTAGCTAGAGAAGGGAGAGTCCAAGAGGATAAGCCTGATGCACTCCAGTGACTATATGATTGGAAGATGGTGACGACACAGTGCAGGAGATTGAGAAGGAATTGTCAGTGGGGTGGGAGGAGAACCTCCTGGCCAAGTACAGAAATCTTTGTTTTCATAGATAGGGTAAGCTTAAAAGCATAGATAACTTAAGCAGAAAGGCATAAAGCATGTATAGGATCGGAATTACTTGTTTTTCCTAAGTTCACTATGCTCTCTCTTACTTCAGAGCCTTTGCACATGATATTCCCATTGCTTGGAACACTGTGCCCTCACCACCCCTGGTTACTCTCTTTTTGTCCTTTAGATCTCAGCTTGGATGTCATTACTTCGTGTGGACTTTCTTGATCCCTTAAGATTCATTTAGGTGTTCTCTGTCATGTTTTGTATTTGCCTGTTTACCTGTCTGTTTCCCCCACTCTCCTGCAGGCTTTTGTTCTATTCCCAGTTCCACCCACAGTGCAGAGCACATGGTAGGAGCTCAAGAGCAGTTTCTTAAATTAGTGAACACGTAAGCAGAACATGACTAAAGAGGTTTTAATAGCTGCCACTTTCTCTGCATTCCACTTTTCAGAGATAAGAGTAAGTGGTAAATATTATGCTTATGTCTTCCAAAAAATCTTTTAGAAGATAGCCTGGGGTTAGTTAGTTGGCCTAATCAGTTATTTCTTTTACAACTTATCCATGGCACTATACAACGATCATTGCTTTCAGGTACAAAAAGAACCTATGCCATGAAGTAAATATTCAATTATTTTCATAGGTCATCATACCTTAGGCCTTTTCTTAAGGCAGGAAGGGAGCTAGTGCATTTAAAAAGATTTTAAAAAGGAACTAAGCAAAAATTTTACTTTTTATATTTCAGTAAATTTACCTTAAAATAGATATCCGAAAACTTGTTTTTACTGTAAAAAGCCACAAAATATATATTGTTTTAAAAATATTTATTATTCATAAAATAATACTCCTATTTCTGTACATTCAGGTTAATTTAGATATAATACTTTGCTTTTCACAATGTAATCATCTATGTGGTGGTATCTTCATACAAAGAAAGTTATAACTGCAATGTTTGGCTGATATTTTTGATAGGATGAAGAGTCATAGTGATCATTAACTTCAGTATACAATCAGGTTGAAAGAAAGTTCTGTACATGGTAGATGACTTTTTGCCACTAGATCTGATTCTTTTAGATGTGCTATTTTATAGATCTGTAATCATATTTTCATTCTTATGTCTACACATCAATATTTATATGTGTAATAGAGGGAAAGTTTTTCTTTAGACTCTCACAATCTAATGTAAATATTGGGGTCTAAAATATTAATATGGGTAAATTATTGTTTTCTGAATTACCATATTACCATAAAAATGCTACATAACTAGCAAATGCAAAGTCTTACATGACAATAAGTATTTTTTTCTCTTTCCCATGTCTGTGATTGGCTGGGATTTAGCTGATATAGACAGTTAGGTTTGTCTCCATGTTGTGGGTTGAGGGCCTGATCTGCTGTGTATGTCTCTTATCCTCCTTGGAACAGTGGCCAAATGTATGTTCTCATAGAGAAAGGTGGGGGTAAAGAGAACCAGCCCAATCCCACAAATGCATTTAAAGCCTCTGTTCATTTCACATCTGCTAACATTCCTTTAGTCAAAGCAGGTAACATGGCCAAGTCCAGTACAAGTGAGTGGTGAAATATATTCTGTGTTAGTGAGAGGAACTTAAAGTCACATAGCAAAGGGCATGGGTTCCAAAAAGGGTGAAGTTTGGCAATAATAATGCATTTTATCTCATCATTCAGTCAAATAAAATGCTGATCCACTTGGAAAGCCTCACTGTCGGGCCTCCCTGAGCCAGAGGCCGACAAAACCGAGCGGGAAGAGACCCCGGTCCAGCCGGGGGTCCCTTGTGGGGCTGAGCGGGATGATGAGTGTCGCTGGCACGGCCCTTCCCCCCCAGGACCTTCCTCCCCGGGGGCCGAGAAAGAACACCACCGAGCCAGGAGAGTGGTCAAAGCCGGAACTCCGTTTATTTGCAGGGCGGCACAGCTTATATAGGGAAAAAGGGCAGGGCGGGTTTTGATATGAGAGATCAAGCAAAGAGCCAATAAGAAGGGCTTAAAAGGATAGGGTGAGGTGGTGGGGAGGCTCTACGCGAATACGGAACTAAAGTTGCTGAATCACTGGGACCCGGAAGGGCGAGGCTGGTAGCTATGTGCCGTTTTTTACAGATGCAGAAACTGAGACACAGAAACATTTGGAAACTTCCTCAAGGTCACACAAATAAGTAGTAGACCCTATATTTTTAACCATTTTTTCTTTAATTTATACTTATTTTCCTTTCAGCTTAATTATATTATGTATTCAAATTCTGAATTTCACTTCAGTGCATTGGGGTTATTTGTTAAAAATATGTGTTCAATCTGCTATATTGGCTTGGAAGTCTGTTTAATACATTTTTAATGTTTTTTTTTTTAACAGCTCTTTTTTTCCTGACATGATGAAAGAAAAGAGTAGACCTTACATTCTCCTGTAATCTGATAAGGCAAAACAATCTGCCTGGTGGTGAAACTGTTCTGTGTGACGCTTTAATGACAGATAAATGATATTATGCATTTGTCAAGACCAACAAAATTATACAACACAAAAAGTGAACTCTAATGTATATTACAGACTTTAGTTAATAATAATGTATCCAGATTGGTTCATCTATTTTAATAAATGTACCACACTAAAGCAAGATGTTACGATAGGGAAAATGTGTCTGTGGTGGGGATGGAGTGGGGAGTATATGAGAACTCTGTATTCTGTCTGCTAAATTTGTCTGTAAACCTAAAGCTGTTCTTTTTTTTTTCCTTTTTTGGTGGGAAAGACCCCAAGGGGGGGGGTTTCCCCCCGGTTCACCTGGGCCTTACGAACTAGTTGTTCTATGTGGTCCCATGTATCCCAGTCGAACAAGGGACTCTCCGGAAGCCAGGGGGCTACCTTAAGTGGCAAGCCCCCGGCTTTTAAGAAGCACGCGGAAAGAAAAGAATAAACTGTATAGCTCTTTAATCCAGCGAGTAAAGCTGGATTGGGTTTAGAGGAAGAAGACTGCCCCATATGTTATGGGGGTACACTCACCCGAAGACCGATTGGCCCGTCAGCGATACTTCCGAGGAGTCCAAAATTCCTCACACGGGGCACCAGTTTGTCGGGCCTCCCTGAGCCAGAGGCTGACAAAACCGAGCGGGAAGAGACCCCGGTCCAGCCGGGGGTCCCTTGTGGGGCTGAGCGGGATGATGAGTGTCGCTGGCACGGCCCTTCCCCCCCA